ATACATGTTCACTTTCCATTGCCTTTGTTCTAATTGCATAAATAAATTTCTTTGACTGAAGAGTATCATCTTCTTTGGTTGAGTGTGAATCAGTTACATTAATGTTTGTTCAGACGGCCAACGAAGACCACTCAAATGCGGAACCGGTGTCACTCGAAGCAGCAAGAACTCAGGTATCGTTTTTACTTCAGTCGATGATATCACAAACCATTTGATCGATGATTATTCATTGTTACCTAACTGCAGTCGTTTTCTATATCGGAAAGCAGTTGTATGTGAATAATAACCATTTATGAGTTCACGTGAAAATTTTTACATCCGAAAATTTGTTTAGTTTATCAGTGATTCATTGCAATTTCGTGAGATGATTTCACGGTTTTATGGGTAATTTCTGCATTCCGAATGATATCGTGTCGTTATTATTTTTAATGAACCTGTGTTTAATGAGAGTGGTATTGTCTTGTTTATTGTCATTTTGCAGGAAAGCGTTGAGCAGAAGTCTCCTGCAACAATGCCTAAGGCCAAATGTAATGATGTAATAGGTTAGTGTATTTCCGTGATGCAAAAGAGGCTCACTTATGCTTATATATTTTTATTTTGATCACTTTCAATTCTCTCTTGAAAGAAAACTTTGTTTGTGATTTATTTCTAAATTCGTTGCGAATTTTTTGCAGATCTTCAAGACGATGAAGATTTATCTGATGAAGACCGTAAACTGGGTATAATGAAGGGTCAGAAAATAAACACAATTATCGGCCTGTGCAATCGAGGATCTAGTGCAGAGTTGATGGTTATTCTTAAATGAGATTGTCTTAATTTACTTGTTATTTCTCATTCGTATCGTTTTTCTTTGTTTCTGCATGCGTCAAAATGTATAATACGAGAAACTAATTCAGTCTCGAATCTTTTTCAATGTCGATGACATTTTCATTTTCAATTTATTAAGATTTCCTGATGGAATGATTTTCCGCAAGCGTCTTATTAATATGTCTTCTTTTCCAAAAAAGCTGAAATTAATTCGACGTAGTCATTATTTGTAAGTACAGTCAACCGTTTTTACTGTGATTGATCAACATTTCAAGCCCAAATTTTGTCAACACT